TGAATGTATATTCTTGAGCTGAAGTACTCTGGTATTGGTGCAGAACATGCTGCTGGGATTTTTGTTTGTTTTTAAATGCCTATGTAGTTGGGAAGTAGGTATGTCTCTGCCACAGGACCTGTTCTTGGTGAGTTTTAGGCTCAGTTTAGCTAGCTGACTTAGCTGATTGTGTAATTTTAACTTCTAAGCACTTCTGTTGTCAGGTTGACCATTCACAGATGTCTACCAGATATTATAGTTCATTTAGTTCACCACTAATGACGCTATGGAAAGTAACCAAGCAATTTCATGTGTCTACTTTAAGCCTTCCTCCTTGCTTTTTTATAGAGCTAAAATTGTAGTAAGTCGTAGGTTTTCATATTAAGTTTCTCATTTACACTAGTTATGGTTTCAACAAGGGGCTTATGATTATAGTATGTCATCACTAAAATGAGAATGACTTGAAGTTTATAGATGGTAGCAAAGATGATATTTTAGGATATATAATGTACTTACTGTTATGTTATTACTGCTAATATTAACGTTGAATACTATATTTGTGTATTCTTTTAAGTTTATGAATACTTTATTATTAAATCAGCGTCACTTTCTAGTCTTAAAATACATTTTTATTCCGGTCAGTTTTAAGGTGAAAAAATGGAACTTGTTAACATTTTAGTTTGGGATGGGATTTAAAAAAATATATTTTTTTCATTGGGCTTTTAAAAAATCCGTTAATTCAGCAAGGTCAAATCTCCAGAGTCTTTTGCAGACAGCTAAGACTGTACTCAAAACTCAGTAGAAGCTTTATGACTTTTGTTTCAAGACCCCATCAGATGGTGCTACATTTCTTCAGAATATGAAGGGATGAGTAAAGGAGCGTATTTTAAAGATTCTTGCATTTACTGAATTTAATACTTATGTTAGAAGTCTCATTTTTTACTTCAAGGAGTCCTACAGATCAGTAGTTTAAAGCACGTGTCCAGCATTCAAAGTTGTTTAACTTTTTAACTATGAACACCTATTTTTAGTGTTTATGGTTAAAGATCAGCAAAACTGTATTCACTGTTTAATAGTTTCTATCTTTGTATTTGATTTACACGTAAATGACAACATATAAGCTTTGAGGTGTGACTGCACTGAGTTTCAGCAAATGCTCAAACAGGGTAATCTTCACATAAATTGCATGGATATATTTAGAAGCCCTAGAGAGGTTGTTCCAAGAAAATGATTTGTCCAACAACTTGGTGTAGAAACTTGCTTTTCAGAGAAAGCAGCCCTCCTCCCATTCGTTCCACGTTTAGACACGAGGGGAGGACTTCTGAATTGCACACTCTGTAGATGTATTTTGCGTGACGTTGTCAAAAAGTCCTTCTGGCACCAACTGTATTCTGTGGGTAGGACAATTCATGCTTATTGTGTAAATTTGTAACAATTCAGAAAGAATTACCACTTTTCTGTAAATGTTCCTACACAGTCTTAACTTTTAAATTGAGGTGACAATTTGCCTCTGAATCTGCAGACAGTTATACCAGAACCACGTTTTCAGTTCTGCTGTTTAGAATGCAGATATGATTCTGGTGTTGGAAAGGTAGGTCAGGCAGGATTCAAATGTTTATACAGCTGAAAAGAAATAAAAAGCTACTGTGAGAATTCATAGTGCTTGGGAGAGGTTAACTATTAGCTTTGGGGGAAAAAACTGGCATTATGTTGTGACATTCCACCGAGACGTGCACCTTCTGACACAACAGGAGTTCACTTGCTTCTTACACAGGACTGATGGGCCACAGAGGTGAGGGAAATGCAAAATATTTTACAGGAATTCAGCCTTGACAAAGAAGGCTTTTGGAGTCAAGATGATACAAAACTTGTATTAACATGTGCACTTATGTATCAGTGCCTTTGTACTAGTGATTATCTTTAGTTGTATTAGTTCAACACGGCTGATGAGCAGTTATCTTTTAAAACAACCTGGAAGTACTTTTAAAACAACATGGAAACAGTCCCAAGAATTACAACTATTTCCATGTTGTTTTAAAGGTAGTTCCAGGTTGTGTTAGAAGATAGTTGCTTATCAGTGGTGTTGAAATAATGAAAATAAAGATAGTCCCAAGAATCAGGACTATTTCCATGTGCATGGACAATGATCTAAAACAATCACATTCAGCAGTAGTACTTTTTGTGCTTGTCCCAGAGACTGAGGAAAATCACGGTGGAAGTTTTCTGATCTGGTAGAGTGTGCTCTGGTAGAACTGTCCCCCTGCAAAGCAGTGTGGGGTTTTTTTTTTCTGCTGCAGAACTTTCCAGAAAGCCTTTGCTGATGTGACCTACATTATTGAAAGACTTTTAAGTTCTGCTTTGAAATGAAAGTTTCATATTTGCATAGATGGTAACTGCACTCTTTAAAGATAGGGTGTATATGTTACGGGAGCACAAAGCAGTGCGCACAGCGTTATCAAGCCTAGTTGCACAAAGGCTTAAAATTAATCTTGTACCCAAAGAGTGACTTACTCTTTTTAGAAAGAGCTAAATTTCAGATAATGTTGCTTAATAGTATGTAGTTCATCAGTGTGAATTGGAATAGATGTTAAAAGTTTGAAGCTCTGATTACCTAGATATTACCCAAACTCACAAATGATTAGTGTGATGTGGGTAGTGACATAATACAATTCCCATATTTAAATCCTTCTTAAATCCTATAAAATTGTTATATTGTATGGTGCATACCTATTTCATGTTTCCACTACTAGAAATTAATAAAATTCTAAGAAACAAAGCTCTTTTTAAAATTTTATAGACATGAACCTTCTAAGGTGTAAAGAGGATGGGAAAAGTTTTTTTTCTTCTGCTTCCAGCAGCACAAGACCTCTTACTGTGGATACACAAAACTTGCAAAAAAGAATGATGCAAGTGTGCGGTTGCAGTCATTGCCCCATGTCAGGCAGTGAAGCCGTTGACAAATGAATCACAAACGCATGTTTTGTGTTTTACTTTTCCATTTCTCCATAAGGTCGTTGACCAAATGGGCCAGTATTAAGAATTAACCATGATGGAGCCCTTTCTTACAGGTTTTTGCTCTCCAGAGCAAAGTTAATTCTGCAGTAATGAAACCATTTGCCAGATACTCATGTGTTATCTCAGCATACACTGTTTTTTGCAAGAGCACTTACAACCTACCAAGTACTGACTTACGCTGAATTTAAGAGTGCATAAAAAATGCTGATGAGATACCTTCTGAATGCTTGGGGACAGTAGGGAGCAAATCCAGCTTTGTCACTGCTCACACCTTCTACTGCTTGCTGCTTCTAAGCAAGTTTGCTGTGGTGAGCAGGTCCTTTTCATTGTGCTACTGCAAAACAAATCTGCAAGGACATGGAAGCAGAGTAGTTGCTTCAGTTTGGGACCACCTAGTCCCAAAATAGTGCTGCTGGGAACTAAAATAGTACTGGAGACTTGTTGGCAGTTAAACCGGGTTGTGTAGATCATCTCAGAAAGTATCAGTGGCATTTAGTCTGGGACATGGCAGGAGACAAGAGTAACCTACATTTTAATTTTTCATGAAAATTACCTAAAGGCATCAAAAAAAATTAAAGGATCTCATCAAATAAGCATAGCAGATTGTTTGCCCAACAGGAAGCCATTACACTTTATAGTTGTTTGAGGGAGAGCAAGCTGAAAAAAAGGCTTCTCCCTCTTCATCCCAATGTTGTATGAAGTTGGCTAAACTTTCCAGGAAAGATGAAAGTCCAATCTTAGTTTCACCATGGCTTGTTTTGCAAAGCTGTTGGTAAGTCAGTTTCTGACTCATAGAAAACCTCTATTTCAAAGCTTGCTTTTTCACTCCTCAAACATGAATAATACCTGCGTGCTGAAGGATGTAGTTTGAAATTAATCTATGTTCTGCTGAACTGTCGTGGAAAGTCGCAGTGGGCGTGGGTCAGATCCCTTCTGTCCCACTACATATGTTTTAAGTGGAGGGCTGCATCTTCAGTGAATTTTAATGGTCATGGGATGGGTGTGGTTTCTTTCACCCTACTCTGCTGAATTACTGCAGTGCAACCAGAGAGGAGACAACAGTAAAATTAAGGCATGATTAAAGGATTCCTTGAAGTGCAATACAGAAGCCTTGCAAGTAGAAGAGAAGTAAGGTTTTACACAAACTTTTTCTTTCTCTGAAGGTATCTCAGAAGGACCAGTTAGATGTCATCTATTTTCTGTTTAACTTGGGTGTATCAGAAAATGTGGGAGAAAATGTCTTAGTTGAGCATAAAATCAGTGAAAATGTTTATGATTTATTACAATAACTTTTATTATCTTCAGTGAAAATATTTATAAAGCATTATGGTAACTCTTACTAATCTTCCTGTGCAAAAAAATGTTCTTTGTAAGGCTAATAATCTGTTAGTAAGCTTTGCAACATCTTCTTTTCATAGTTTAGTTTTTATTTTCTCACCTTTAACCATTTAGCACTGACCATTTGTAACTGCAGTCTTTGCATGCAAAGGTCTCAGATTCATCACTCAGAAGCCAGGAAGCACAGTCTCGGCAGGGGGCTGCGGGCCCATGCGAGGTACTTAGCCAAGCACCAAGAAGAGGCTTGCTTTTGTATGAGGTGACTCCTTGTCATGGAGTTTCCCACCTTGCTCACTATTTAACTGCTGCAAGAAATGAAACTGAGGTTTTACAGACGTGAGTCTCCTTCATTACACAGCCTAATGCTTAACTCTGCTGTGCATCACTAGAGATGATTCAAGCAGTTCTGAAGGACACAGGCTATCAAAGTGCATACACAGCAGAATTCTTCACAGCGCATCTCTGGTTTTATATGTGGATGTTATCAAACTTATGTTAAAAATGTTTAAAAGTCTTAATAAATTCAGGTAGCTTAAGCTTTTGTATCAATGTCCATCTCCAGAGTGTCTGAGTGTAGCCTTTAGAAAGCACCTTTGTCTTCCTATCAAGTTTCCTGTTAAACAGTACAAAATTTGTATTCCATTACTAAGGATTTTGTTCTCTTTTAGGATCGAAATAGAATGTATGACAGTCTGAATATGCACTCTTTGGAAAACTCCCTTATTGACATTATGAGAGCAGAGCACGATCCACTTAAAGGTATGTTATTATTCTAAATGAAGAAAAAAAAGGTCATCCATTCTGCATATCTGAATTAATACTGATTGGTAATTTAGACTGTAGTTGCATATTAAAATAGCAAATTAATTATGTTCTCAACTGACAGGAAAGGTCAATCTTATTCAAAATATTGATTTACAGTTGTTTAAAACTTAACTTAAGCTTTAGTGCCTTCAAAGGTTTTTTCCCTCTCCCCTCCTTTCCCCCAAGAAATTCATAGTTTTATTAGATATTTATTTGTCTGCAGTAGGAAATTCTGCCTCAGTTTGTAAAGACTCACTGTTCTGTTAGAGGTAGCCAAAAGAGAGTGGGAGGGGAATCAAACAGCTACCAGTGTTAGCTGGTTTGTTTTCCGTTTCTTTCCAGTGAAAGCTGAAAAGAAAATTAAGTCTACTGATTAATTCAGGTTTTGTCCTTTCAAATATTTCTTCAAAGCCCCTGGAGGATAATAATGCATTTAATTGTCCAGTTTCTGTTTGTATGAAGAAGTCCAGAAATACACTCTTACCATTCTGGGCTCTGTTCAAATCCTTTGGATACAGCAGTAAGCATATAGCGAGTATCTGTGGGCTTTGATTTTAACTCCTCTGTTCACTGTGCAGAAACTCACTCCTGAATTCTGTTTTTCCATGCTTATTTTCAGGTGGAGTTTTAACACTGAACTTTGGGGCAGGGAGCCCAAACCGCTGATCAAATGTTATTTCATTTGTGATGTTATAATTAGACTGACACAATCTTAACTTTAAAATTATCCAAAACTTCAGGCTTGCTTTGCAGAAATTAAGTCTCAGTACTAAAACAATTGAAAAAATAAAATAACAATGAAAAAATTTCTTTCTTTTTAGATCATTATTTACTCCCATTCATTCTCCATTTTCTGAGGCTCCTAGACTTAAGATATATTACATTAGAACATAAGGGCCTGTGTTCTGATTCAAAAGGCGCTTCTCTAGAGTTTATTCATGGTTTTCTTAAGGTCTGTAATCAATTGGAAGACCTGTAGTATTCAGATAACCTGCAATAGTATTGTAAGATTTAGAACGTAAAGCCAAAAGTTTGGAGTTGTTTTTTTTTTCCAAGCTGAAAATCTCTACAAAGCATCAGTCAGTAGGTAGTGTTTAATTAGCCAGTTCATTGTCCTCCTCTTTAGAGTGGAAGCTGAAATTAAATTTGTTGATGTTCTTAAACCTGATCTCTTATTTCTTACTGCCTATAGAGAATTAATTCTAGTTTTAACAGTTTTATCATTTATGTTCATTATTTAGTTTCTGTCTATTCTGCATGTTTACAAAACATTGCTGAGTAACACAGAGGGGTTGAAACCTGTGAACAGTTGGCCCAGTGTTAACTGCTGTGGACTAAAAACACGCATATGGCATCAAAGACAAGGTAACTGGTTAGGTCATCCCCATTTCAAAGCATCATTGCTTCAGTTTGCTGCACTCGGGTAGTGACTAGTATTTCTTTGGTTATCTGAACCCAAATCTGCCATCAGGAACAATATTGAAAGGTAAAGTTGCTGTTAGGCAAAAAATTAGAGAATGGAGGTCTTCTATTGCAATATGCTGTCACTGGCACCTCTAACATTCCCCAAAAGCAGTCGGTTTCTTCGCCTCTCTCTGTGCACACTGACGTGACAAATGGAAGGGGTCGCTTTGTTCCCCTGCCATCTCACTGTTTCCATTTCGGCTTTATAATGCAGACGAGTTTTCAGAGGCACAAGAAGCACAGAAAAGACCCGTTTTTATTTTTATTCATTTCTTCATATTTCGTTATGATACAATAGATTAAAACAATACATTTTCAATAGTGATTTTTCAGAAAGAATAAGACAAGACAAAACTTTAAGATTTTAAAATGAATTGGGTTCATACATAGACACTTCTGAAAAACTCAGTAAAGGTTCCGTAGTTATTCTGTGCTTTTTAGGGACATAAGTGTATGGTTTCAGTCTACAGTTAAGAGATCTATTTTTTTTAACAGTTTCACCATCATACTCTTGCAGTAAAAATTCTGCTAAGTTTTATGTTTGAACTAAAACAGATGGAAGCCATAGATAGTGATGAATTCAAAGGAAATGCACTTTTTTGTTCAAGTGCCAGAGAACAGTGCACTTGCCAAGTGAATTTAAATAGAGTAATTCTGTGCTGTTATTTAAATTGGTTAGGATATTTTTTTCTCTCTGGAAGTTTTTATTTCAACTGAAACAGCTACATTATTAGGAGTAAGACACAAGAAATGTTCCTCACTGACTGAAAATGGGAAGAGGAAATCACATCCTAGAATAAGTTTTTAATTCCCCTCTAACCCTCTTCTGTTTGATCTCCATTAGTTGGCATTTCTGTAATTTCCTAGCAACTTCAACTTTTTTTTTCTACAAACCATGACACACAATTTTTTTTAGTTCAGTCTCTGTGGCTTTTCTTTTCACCACAGAAAATCTGACATTTACTTAAGAACCCATCACATTTGCTTGCAGAATGCACAGGATTAAGAGTATTATTGTTATTTATTCGTTGTTCTTACTCATCTGTAATATACTTTGTTGTAGCTAAGGAATATTTTGTAACTAGAGAGTATTTTTATGACAAGTTTTTAAGTAAATCTAAGCACACTAAAACAATGCATCCTTTATATCTGACCACAGCAGTAAAATGAAAGTCTGTGGAATTTTAAGCACGTGTTTCAGATTTAGCTGCTTACGATATCTGGAGTATGACTAAGCATCTTGTCTCAGCTTTTGCACAATGCAGAACAGACACTGTGTCCTAGTGCACAGCTTTAAGTTTAGCATTTCAAGATCTATTTTAGAAGGAAGTCAAATTTCACCCTTTGTGCTTTCACAAACTTGAAAAATCTTTATTGCAAATATGTTTCACTGAAATGAATAGCTCACGCTCTCCATGCACTGTTATGCCTGCCAAAAAATAGTTTCTAGATGCATCATTTCATCTTCACTTGGGCAAAGTTTAGTTATTACTACAGATGCGATCAAAAGAAAGAAGTTATTTTTAGCTTTCAATATGACATTTTTTCAGGGTAGGTTAATAGGGAATAGATGCTTGACTTCACTGGTCATTGCAGCAGAAATACTGACTGTATTAAAACTCATCTTTCTCATGCAGCTTTCTTGAAATGCATTTCATAATAAGACATTAAGTAATGTTTAAGATTACCCCATCCAGTCAATGGAATATAAACTGAAGTTAAAATTAATAAAAGTTTTTTTTTACATCATTGTTCTTAAATACCCTTTTTATACTTGTAATAGCCCTTAAACCTATTTTGAGAGAAGAATTACAGTATTGATAGCCTGACCTACATGGGTATTGGTATTATAACTCTTTTCCAGGCACACCTCATGTGTATTTGCCTTTTTTTCCCTTCTCCTGACCCAAATACCAATGCTTCTTGATGTCAGGATGTAGAAACTTGGATTCTGGACACTTCAGAAACAGGAAAGCCAGCACATTTGAGCTAAAACAGAATAGGAAAGAAACTTAGAAGAAATGCTTCTATTTTGTCTGGAATATGTATTAGAATTGAGAAGCAGGTGATTTAATGGAATTTATTATCTACTGTTTTAAAAATCTTTCTAGTGAAGACTATGGTATTTCCAATGTAATTTAAGGACTTGTCTTCTGTAAGGCAAGAGTGCTGATACTGTACTCAACTGACAATTCATTTCTGTTTACTGATCAACGCTCTCATAGCTCTGCAAGCTAGGTGTAAGGCAGTACTGAACCTGAATTAGCCATAGCTAGATTAGGGAGAGGAACAAAAAGGTGTATTAAATTCATGTTGAATTTTTCTTCTCTTTCTTTGTGAGAGGCAAAACAATTTTTTTAGGAAAGTTACACAAATACATCTTTTATATAGCTGGTAATAAATAATAAAAGCAAAACACTATTATTTGGCTTATCTATGGGGAAAAATTACTTAGAAGTCTGTCTTGCCTTTTCTTGCTTTTATTTGCCTTTTAAATTGGTTTAGTTGAGCTTTTCATTCATTATGCATGTTTTAAAAGCAACCTGCTGGCGCATGCTCAGTGAAGTAAAAAGCAAAGCACTGGTGACTCAGCAGCACAGTAGAGAACATTTTCTTTCTTTGCATATGGTAACTTTTGTTTTTGAAGGCTGTTGTATTATATGCGGTGTTGTGAAGCTCTAAGGTTTAGAGTTATACAGTTGCTTCCTAGAGTAATTCAAATTACACTCGGAAGAGAATTTCTGAGGCTGAACAAAGAAATTATGGAAGGAAAAACTTCTCTTAGTCATATAAAAGGCTTTGAAATTGTATGTACAGGTAGTTTCCTCTTTCTGTCATAGCAACTTTTTATGATAAAAGAATATATTTAAGACTGATAGTCTGGTTTGCCTAAATAGATCGACTATCAGAGACAACACACTTGGCCTCATTGTGCCTTACATAATTCTTACACAAGCATTTAAAGTGTAGAGTCTGGGCTTTCTGTAACTGGGGGTCGTCCACACACAGTTTTGTGCTGTTATCTTAACTACACCTGTTTAAAAACTGAGCTTTCTGAAGCTGCTGCAGTCCTCAGTCATTCACTGGGCTGTTAAAGTAGTTTGGGAAAAGCTTAACTTGGAAGCTTTTTCTCTTCTAGTCAGGAGATGGCCTGAAAAAAGGAAGGTGGGAAAGGAATTTGTGATTCTGTCTCTTCATTCAGCCATTTCAGACTTTTTAAAACTTGTGAACCTGTGAGCCAGTGGTGTTTAAAGCAGTCATTATACTTCAGTCTATCCCAAATGTTTTAATATATGGGGATTCCTCCAGCAACTTAGTTACATAGGGATAGAACGTATGCCTTTCCAAAAGTAGGTCTGAATTTGCCTTAAAATGAAAAGTGAGTAAGCACAACTACATCTGTATGCTCAGAAGAAGCTTACAAAAGAATTTAAATTTCCATTGCCCATATTAGTAACATGAGGTCCCAGAAATGCAGCTAAAACTAAGTTTGTTACTCTTTCCTCAGGGTTTGGATTAGCAAGACTTTTAACAGGCTTTAGTGGATAAACTAGCCCACTAAAATTTATTTGCAAACTTTTTATTTTTTCTGTCATTACAGAAGAATACTTTGTGAGAAATAAATACCAGGCAGTGCTGTTAACATTAATGACATTTAGATATGGAAGAGGAGACTAAATTTAATAGAACTTCAGTTGCATAAGAGATATCAAACATAGTTGCTTCTTCTTAGCAACACTATTTTGAATTTAGCCATGAGAATTATTAATTAGTGATAGCGTGATGAAGTTGCAAGTTTAGGGTTGCACAGAGAAAAATTCTATAACATGATATTTTATGATAGAGTACTGTAATATTAGGCATTATATTTGTTCCAGATAGCAGCACATTACTGGTTCTGGATGCTGTAGAACTAAGTTATGGAGACAGTTGGTGCAGCAAATACTTTCTGTTTCTCAGGAATGAAATACATCCATTATTTAAATAATATTCTCTAACTGATTTGTGATTGATTTTAAACTAGTAAAGCATCTTAATATATTATTAAAATTTCTTTTTAAAGCAGGCGGAGACCACTGGAACCGCTGCAGTATCTACTGAGCAGTGTATACGAGTCTAGATTACTGACATTGAAGTAGAATGGGATTAGACAGGATTTATGGTGAGGGCAGTTCTTAAAATGGTACTTTTTTTTAAATGCATCAAACAACATGCAGTGAAAATAGCTGAATAGGAAGAAATGTTATAGAATCGAAATAAATTGTTAGAAGGTGGTGCTCCAATACTCTGCATTTTATATACTGGTATTTTAAGTGAGGTTTAATATAGTATATGTCCAGTTAAGTAGAATAATCTGTTAAAAAATAGTGTAATGTCATCTCTGTGCAAGACTGATCTTGCACCAAGTTCCATGCATGAAGTGTTCTGAGTTGATGCATATCATGAAATTCAGGTGGACACCCTAGTAACACTGCATTTTGCTTCAACAGATTAATCTGAGGGATAAGGATTTAGGTTAACATAACTTAAAAAATAAGTATGTGAACATTTTTTTTAAGGTTGTAAGTCCAAGTACTAGGCAAGGCATAAACACAAGTATTAAGTTCACTGGAATGCAGTAATACAAAGTATGATTTCATTGAAATAACCTTGTAAATAAGACTTAAAAGAAGTATCAGTACAGCTGGACATGTACTGAATACTGTGCTACGCATTTTGCTCTCTAACTCTCAAATCATTCGTTATCTGAGCTGCAAATTCAGCTCCCTACCACATCAAGACTGGGTTTCTTCGTGCGATTCATAGTTTTTATGCTGCAGAAGTAGGCCCAGCTTCTTAGCATACCTTCTGCCCACTACTTCATGAGTGCTTTATTATTTCAACTTTTTCAGTTTGGTACCTAAGTTTATGGAGGGGGAAGCAAAAGAATGTTAAAACAGAGTTGTGAACCCAGAATTTACTTTGTTCTAAACCCATTCTCCTCTCCAGATGTTGATACTGATGGGCTTCTCTCCTGCTAGGCCTTAAATCTGACCTCTCTTCTGTAGTAATTTCATGAAAAAATGTATCTTTTGTCTCCTTTGCTGAATAGGAAAAGAAGATAACTGTATACAGACAGGGAGAAAGACTGTCACCACAGGCTCGAGGAGGTTCAGGATGAGATAGTTTCTCACAATTTCTATTGTTATTCCACATAGATAAAGCATTCTGATTTGCAAGAAACAGCTCATAATGTTGCAAGTATTTCTATAGCACCGTACATAAACATGATACGGACAGTAAATAATCCTGTAAAATCCTTGCTGTCAGGCAAATGACTGTTACCTTTATAGACCAAAGAACTGAGAAGTGAAGCAAAGTGTCTTGTTATACACCAGACTGAGCAAAACAGTGGCAGCTCCACATTCTGATTTAAGGACGCCTTGTTCCTAATTTTTTTCCTGTTCTACCACCATGCATTGCTACGAGGGCGGTTCCCATAACCATTAGTTAGAGAAGACAGCAGAGTCCTTTTGGGTGGTATTTGTCTGCCCTTTTCCAGGAGGCTGCCCTTGCTCTTCACCATTTTCTCCACACTTTCACATTCCAAATAAAATGGTTCCAACCAAATCTGCAGGTGTTCTGGTATCAGCCATTCTTGTAATAGTGAAGTCTGTGGGAAGAGAAATAGTATGTGGCGGTATAAAATTCTTTTTGCCATAATGCTTGTAAATGCTAAGGCTGAATAAAATATCCTAAATTATCTTAATCTTGCTATTTTGAAGTTTTGAGTTTAAGAGTTCATAATGTATAATTTTTTCTATAGTTTTTGGTATGCAATTATCATGCTGCTTTCCTAAATGGGAAAAGCAAAACTTAAACCCCACTACTTACAGATTTTTTTTTTATTTAATCCCAAAGGTGTCCCTTGGGACACGGAACTACTATTTCGAGAAATTTCCAGTCTCGCTGCTAATCAGATGGGTTTAACAACAGTAAGGGGGAGGGAGGGGGAGAACAGTGTGTGCTAGGAATTGTTAGACAACCTTAATATATCAATTGCTGATTTAGTTGTCTTTCTTTTTTCCTTTATTTTTCCCGTGTTTCTTTTTAGAAAGAATGAACCTTATTAGGGCTTGACAGTGTCTTTCTAATACATCTTGCAAGCCATCTGTATATCTATTCCCCTTTAAGCCAGTGTGAGTTCTAAACACCCATTGCTTCCAGACTGGGTTCTTCTTTATGCTTCCACAAACATTCTGCTTTCCTCCGAAAGATTTAGATGTTTAAATTACAGTATTTTTTATAAATGCTTATGGATTATAAGCAAGTATGTTTTAATAGCAAGATAGATGTAAATGTAGTTATTTGCACATTAAAGCACACTTCTCACAAACACAGCAGCTATTGTAAGTGTCTCTCTAGGTCAGTGCGCACTACTGGTATGTTTGCAGCTTCCTGTAAACAGAAAATGTCTCCTTTAATAAAAAGGAATTTGTACTGAACAGACACTTCAGCTGTGCGTTTTAAACCATTCATTTAAGTGTAGCACTCCACCAATGTGGCAAAATGCAATACTAGAAAAATTCTAATGTCAGGAAATGAGGTTTTAATGTAAATTTGTTCAATGTAAAATGTTGAAAATGTTATCTGTCATATTCTTTAATTTTGTTAATTCTGTAGATAAACCAGTACTCTATTTTTGTCAGACTTAGTGAAAAATATTGCATACAATGGTTATATGTTATACACCAAAATACAGTCATAAATTGGGTAATAAAATTCTAATACCTTCATTCCTATTAACATGATTTTTCTTAAATTGATTCAGTAGAGGAGCATTAAACTGTAGAAATGCCACTCTGTTAAGCAGCGTGCATAGTACAGTTATTCACAGTCACTATGAAAGAGAAGACTAAAGCAGTCAGCACTATTTCTGGGTGTCATGAAACAAAAAGTGGCTTTATCCTATTGGAGCTGATCCCAAAGCACATTGCAGATCTTATGACCAGAGAATTAAGGTTAAGAAGTCTGTTCTTGTCAGCTTTAACTTGGGTCAAGGGTATTGTTGGTTAATGTGCTTGGAGTTAAATATTAGCTCTTTATTTCCCTTAGGCAAACTGGAATATTGTTTATATTTAAATTCTAAGCAATGATTTTTCTTTTTTTTTCCTAACATAATAGCTAAAACCTCTGCATTTGTTTTGTTTTGTCCTTTGGTTTTTGTTTTCTTTTAAGGTCGCTTGAGTTATCCACATCCAGGGACTGACAATCTTCTGATGTTAAATGGTAAGTGCTAATCTTCTAACAGTTTCTAATTATCTCTGGCTTAGCTTAAATCTGACATGTTGGTATAAAATTATACTATTATATTCTGTTATTGAATTACTTGCCTCTGGTCTTCAACACTGATGGGACTGTTGCCATTTTTCAGAGTTGAATGGCAAGAGCTAATCTCGCAACAGCCTTTCATTATATCTAGCTTATTTGAAATCTGAAGTGCTCGTAGTGATGCTCTACTCTCCTTTGTTCTCAAGCAAACCAGTGGTACGTTCTTCACAGATCTGCTGGAAATCTGTTATACAGAAACAGGAATTAGAAAAATATGAAGGCTGGAAAGGCGTGTTTTTCTATCTTGTGTAAATAAAGGGCGAACTAGATACTTTCTATTACACTAATGTGAAATAACATTTTATTTTTATTTAATTTTTTGAACTGGCTGTGTCAAATATGTTTCTGACTGTGAAATCTGCTGAAGTTAGAGTTCATGTTCACGTTCCTCTCCCAGTAGGTCAAACTTCATGAACATCTGCTACTCAGTGAAGGCATGAACTTTAGCCTTTGTTCAAGGCTAAAGACGGAAGCAGAGCTTGGTAATCCATCTACGTCAATAATAAATCAGGGGGTTTGCACACAAATGTTTTCTACATTGGGAAAAATCAGAACTGTCATGCCATAGCTTCTCTAAATTAGAAAAAGTGGAAGCTGTTGTACACAAAGCAAGTACATTTCTGTCATTGACTTGATGGGTGTAAACGTTACCAGTAAAGACCTAAGAGTTAAAAAATACAGTCAGAATACTTATTTTAGGTTTGTGGTTCTGTGGAGCTCTTTTTTTAGTTGCCTCACCCTTCTGCACGGTCATTCACACTTGTGCAAATGGATATAAAATGTAAAAAATGCCTAATATCCCTTCTGTAACAGTGAGTAAATGTTTAAAATTTTAAGGAAATTCAGGTTTTTTATACCCAGTAAAGGAAAATATTGCACAATGGACATTTGAAGAATTAGGTCCTTTGGTATATAATAGTTCATTAAGATAATGGAGTATTTTGAAAAGTGAAAATAGCTACTAAACTATTGAAATAAAATTAGTGTTTAGCCCACACAGGCCATAATCCTGATTCCTGGTCAGAAATTGCATTAAATATCGGTGTCATTATCTGCTAATTTATAATGAGGTGTTAGATGGAAAGGTATTAAAAACTAAGCAATCTTATGAGCAACTGTGAAATATGTCAGTGCAGGCAGTATAAGAAATTAGTATGTTTTTAATGTATTTTAATAAGTAGAATAGCGAGCTTCTCTTTTTATAATTTTGCGTGCTAGAAGAGCACACGAGAAGCGTTGTTACTCTATGGAATATCTAAGAAAAAGGTTTTCACAGTTATCGTGGACATTGGAAAAGTGCATCTCAGTGGTACCAGCCTGTCCTGAAAACCTTAGCACAGAGCTAGAACATGCACTGAAGAATATCTTGTTTTGTTATTAATGCTGGTGAGGTTTCCACTGTAGTTTGGAAGTTAGCACTTAATGTGACTGCTGTCCACTTTAACAGCTGCAATATTATTTCCAACCTTCAATAGGTGAGATAAAAATAATAATTTCAGTATCTAAAAGACAGGTTTTGTGTCAAGCAACACCTGATTTTTAGGTGTGCCGTTTAGAATTTAATTCAAAGCCTTGGTTTAGCCACCAAAGCTCTCTACCATCTACCTGGAGAGCCCGACGTGCCTGTTGGGGCAGTCCAGTGCCATCACAAATGCAGTTCAGAGCCACCTCAGGCTGCAGTGGCTGAACTGCAGCTCCCCACAGCTGGGAACAGGAACACTGGGGACTGCTTTGGGAGGCTCCAGGTGCCCACACGCTGCCACAGCCTTTCTTCCTTAGCAGGAATTGGAGGGCTTCCTGCAAATGTATGCTAATGAGAATTAAAGTTCAAACACTTGCTGATAAAGTTGTAGGCTTCAGATTCCTTCTCTGCTTAAGTCAATTCAGGCTGACGTTTCCCTGTAGCCTGAAATTGGTGCCTTGGAGGAAGCAATAGGGAAGAGGAGAGTTGGCAATCCAGAGTTTCAGGTTTGTCCCTACAGTCACAGTAAGTGCCGTAGTTGCTACAAGGAGAAGCAGGAATGCCAGATTTTAAAGGATCCTGGGCCCATCTATAGGTGCACTAATACTTAACACTAGATTGTGACTCTCACTGGTTTTTGGTTGGCTTAATTTTAGTGGACTGGTATCTCTGGATCCCAGTAAGGTTCTGACGGGAGCCAGACTGAAATTCCTCAACCCTTTTAAGATTAAGCACTTCTAGATAAAACTTATTTTTAGCTTATTTTTCCTCTTCTTAAATGATAGAATTTTTTCCACCTCATTTAAAGTGTACTTACTGAACTGTACCTAATATTAATATTTACAATTTTCATTATTTAAATTAATGAAATGAACCAAAAGAAAGCTGATTTATCTATTCTAATAAATTATATATCCGATAATTATATATCTGTTTCAGTTCAAGCTGTAAAAAAAAGCAATGGGTTTTTAATAACAGTTATTTCTCAAAAGTCAAAAGAAGACACTTTGGAATGGTTTTCCCTGAGTACATCTTTAATTGTCAACTTTAGCTCAGAGTGAACCTTTCTGTAGCAAGTAATAATGCAAGAGTTTGATTTTTGGGGGTATAGGGTGTTTTTTCCCCATTATAGGGTTCTTCCCCTTTTATAGTTTCAGCGCATTGATCTTTTTTTTAATGGTGTTTGAAACATGTTTCACTATTTAGTTTAGCAGGGGAGTGTTAGACTTTCAATCTTAAAGATACTATAGCAGTTGTGCTTCTAAGAAAAGTGGTGTACTTCAAACAGAAGTTGCTAAACTTCCTATACAGGAATTGCTAAGTGAGTTTCTGTAGTTTTTTTAACTCTTTCATCCTTAAAATCTATAAAAATGTGGTGTCTAAAGAAACTAGTAAGAGTTTAGGCACCTAAATTGACTAGAATCAAGTGGGAATTAAGCACCTACCTCCTTTAGTCTACACTCTTGGGAAATTTTGCCGTAATTGTTTATGGATTTCTTTAAATGACAAATAAGTTTTAATGGAAAAGGTTTCATTACTTCCATGTTAACATTTTATCATTAAATCAGGAATACTAGGGAAAAATAGTATTTTATCTTACTTTCTATCATACATTTGGTAGTTATCTTTAAGTACAGAAAGCTTGCCTGGTAGTTTTTCCAGTTATACAACACAATATTTTTGATTCAGCTCAGTCGTTCGCTTATTTAAATATGTATGTGTTTGATCTCTGGTGTATATTTGAAATACATGTCTAAATAAAATAGAAATTATGCATTTACAATCTGTATGATAGCATTGTGCACATAATGTACAAAGTTAGAGTGTCTCGGTGCTAGACAAACATGCACAAAAGGTGTATTTACTTCTGTCTCTTGTGTTTCTTTCTCTGAGCTGATTGAAGTTGCAGAAAGGAGGGTATTAATTTTTTTGACAGGTTTAAGCCTTATTAGTATGCAACTGCAGGGATATAGAAACAGGAGATTTTAACTATAAGGGAATGTCTCTGTTGTATACACAGCACTCTTAATGTTGGAAGGTTCCAGGGTTGTTTGACTTAGTTTTTATTTGACATCATTATACTTCTTGCATGTGTTTCCTAATTTATATTTTCTAGAATAACAGTGTATCCCTTGCACTTTCTCACTCATTTGAAATATTTCAGAGGTTTTGACTAATTAAGATAACACAGCTTCATAAACAAAAAGATTAAAAAAATATTTCTGTATTACTTATTCTTTGAACAAATTCAGGAAGGAAGGAAGGAAGACATTTAATCTCTCATTTTCTGTTGTTGTAAATCACTTATTTACCTACAGTATCTGGCCTTACTCAAAAGGCTGTTTCCCCTGCAATTATTTACCTAAACATATGCACTAATTATGTAGATGCCTATATTATATATATAAAGCTATATATATATAGCTAAATCTATAATTAAATATATATAATGTATATATTTATACAGACCACATGCCCTGTAAGTACGTGTGCTCTGAAAGGTGTAAAACATTATGTACATTTTATTTTAAGAAATGAATAAATATTTCTGATTGAATATAGTATCTTCAGAAAGAATAGCAGTGCCTACTGATCGTCAGAGAATGGGAACACATTTTTCTAGATGCAAAATGGCAGAAAATCCCTGCCAAAGTAGTTTGCAATCTGAATGGGCAAGACAAATAAATATCAGGGAAAGGAGTTTGCTGTACAAATAAAGTAAATGTGACAACATCAAGTACAGTTATTTTCCCATTTTCTCTGATTCCATTGCTTTGATGACGCAAATACACAGATAACTTCAATATTTCATTATAATTTCCATGTATATAAAATACTGCAGCAACAACCCTTTTAAGTTGAATTGAATTGGAGGAGTGGTTAGCATTTTAATAACTCTTTTTGTATTCCCCTTAAAATTTTTAAATGCACGAAGAAAAATAGGGGTTTTATATGCATATCAGCTTGTCTTATGAAAATACAAGGAAATAGCTGACCTGGTTTGGTGGGCAGAAAGGAGCAGAGGTGACAGAGGAGAAGAAAAATTACTAAGGCTTGTGCCAAAAGATGCTTACTAATACACATTTGTAGATTATTCTTTGAGAGGGCACATGGCACTGCAGTCATTGCTATGGGTGTGATGCACGTGATTTTCCCTGGTCACTCTAGTTTTATCTGTGGAAAAAAAACAACCAGAAAGGGCATACGGGCGGGTTAACTGAGGGCTTAATGATGCTTCTGCTAATGCTGTGTGGGAGTCACTTTGGCCAGGAGTCAGGAAAGGTTGGTCCAGGCTGCAGCACTGACAGGAGCTGCATCTGACTTCAGAGGGAACAGAGTCTGAAGCTCAGCATTGGCCTCCCTGTGCAGCACCACTGGGAGAAATGGTCACATCGAAGAACACGTGGTGTTTTGTTGATTCTGTTTGCATGTGGAA